ATTTCAGAATGGAAGTCAAGGAGAAATATTCAGTTTAAGCACTTGCAGTGAATCTCTTTGGGTAAGAGTAGATAAATTAAATTTAAATTCTGGGAATTTTTTTTTCTCCTGTATGATCAACTTTGGTTTTGTATTGTGATCTTGGGAAAGAAATGCTGTTGGTTATTACTTTTTTTTCTTCACCAGGGACAGCGAGCAGCAGGGAAATGTGATGATCATGGTAATGGGAACCCTTCAAGTCGAGTCTTGTTTTAAGCTGGTTGCAGACCACAACCCGTGGTGGTCCTGGGACCATGCAGAATGTTCCTAGCCCTATGTCTGCTCCAGGCAGCTCACATGACTAAGTGCAACTTTGTGTAACATTGTCCACCACTAAAATTCTTGTTTCCTCTCCAGACATCCACTAACCACGGCTGTAGAAAGCATTAACCTTGAGCATTTTGCCTGGATAGTGTAAGGTCTGCTTCTTAGTAAATTGTTCAAATGTTCTGACCATAGGGAAGTGGTTTCAAGCGACTGAGTTGAACAAGTAGTCCTTGCTGTTAGTAATACAGCCAGAGTTCCTAACCTGGCATCCAAGAGTTTCTCAGTGTCCATGGAGAGAATTCAGGACACCTATGAATTTGGATGTGAAAAACTAGATTACTAATTGCAATAACCTCTAATTAAAATTTGCTATTTTCTCTCAGTATAAATTTAGGCAAAATTCCACATTAGTATTAGTTGCAATTAGTTACCAAGAGAAATTACAAGCATTTTTCTGTTGCATTATACTTATAGCAGATTTATTAAAATATTGACGTTTGACATCTCATAGGTTATTAGATATATTCTTTTTTTATTAATTCTTTGTATTTATCTATGACAGTGGAATGCATTACAATTCTTCTTACACATATGGAGTACAATTTTTCATATCTCTGGTTGTATACAAAGCATATTCACATCAATTTGTGTCTTCATACAAAAGAAGCCTATGCTACTATATTACATTTGTCTTAAAAAGTATTTGATAATTGAGGTAATTGAGAAAGGGCCTATAGATTGTAAGATGAGTTCATAGTACAAATAAAAGTCTTGGAAACCCTAATTTACAGCATTCTCTTGCATGGGGCTAATGAAGTAACTACTGAAGAGCATTAGCTGATATTCTCTGTCATATGGGGGAATGTGTTCTTCCTGCTTCTGGGAAGTCTTGGGGTTGTGGAGGAACCTTGGCACAGAGAAGATGATAATAATAGTAGGAATGATTAGAAGAGCTAATATTGCTTGGCGCCTGCTGCCGGCCAGGTGGTTACGAGCATGTTCAGTGTCATATTTTGTTTTACTCCTCTCCCCCCTTCTGAGAAGGCAGGTCACGGAGCAGTCAGAGATAGAAGAGATGTCTCCAGCCACAGTGGTGATAGAGCCTTGGTACAGCAAAGGCTAGAGTCGGAGAGGGGTGCTTGGCTTGCACAGCTAGGTAGACTCGGCTGTTATTGTCTTGGAAGTCCTAACAAGTTTCTAACAAGGGGCTCTGCATTGTATTTCTGCTCTGAGTCCTGCATATGTAGCTGTTTGAATATGTGACAGTTGTGGGATTGTTTGATTGTTGACAGTTCCCGATGCTGGGAGTCTGCGAAGCTGCTGTGAAAAGCCCCCTGCACGTTCCTTCCTTGCCCATCTAACCAACCACCGGTGGAAAGCTGAGGCCCTTTGAGGAGGGAGAATTGGCTTTTGAATTGGTGAATTTTGCACTTTTGTTTGAACTCCAAAGGTGTCTTCTGTAACAGCCAGGGGCCAAATCATAGGCTGGAGGGGATCTGATTCTTTGAATTACATTTCTGATTAGTGAGTTGCTGACCTTCCTGATGAGTGTTCATTTTTTATTATCCAGAGAGCTTGCTGTGTAGACCAGTAGGTTCAGAGAAGTTGCTTCTGTCTGTTCCCGAAGGAAAAATGAGAGCCGGGGTGCCTCGTCTCTCGTTCTTATGGAAAGGCACTAAAACAGAGACTGGCTTTCTTGCCTACTGACATTAATGATTATCTGAACAAGGAGAAGACCTTATTTTTGCTAAGAGGAGTCACTCTTAATTTGTGGGAAAATTCAGATGTTATTTGCTTCTTAAGCTGCAAAGAGGATAATGGAATAAGCCTTACATCGTCCCATCCATTTTTTTACAGCTAAATTTTCACAAACTGTTCCAAGGTCTGAAACAGGGCCTTGGGCATAGCACAGTGAGGGTGGAAGAGGGGGAGAACTTTGCTTGATTCCTTTCAGTGACAAAATGCAGGCTCCCTGAGTGACACTTTGTAGTCTCTCTCTGGTCCGTGTGGTGTTCCCAGCACAAGCTGATCTGCCCTCAGGACCTGTGTGCCATGCTTAGTTATCAAGTGCCTTCTAAAAGAGTCATAATCTCCCTAATTTTCAGCAGATTTTTTTTTCCTCCTGCTGTTACTACTGCTCTTTTTTCATGACTAAAGTCTGAGGTGGCTGGCTGCCTGAAGCCATCTCATCCCTTGAGTCCACCTGGGGCTTTCAGCAGAGGTTGGACTGAGGTTTTCTGATTTTTTTTTTTATTTTGGTGCTGGGGATTGAACTTGTGCCTGCTATGCACATGCTCTAGTACCAAGCTGCGTCCCAGGACCCCCAGACTGAAATTTTGATGGATGAGTTCAAAGGCTATGTTCAAACGTCCTTTGGTAGCATCTGGACTAATGTGCACTCAACAAAAACTTTTGTATTAGGGCACCAGAATGAACAGCATACCTTCTACTCACATGGAGGGGAAAAGTTATGGAAGCCCCCCTTAAAGGATCTTGACTGTCAAAAGTACAGGGTTCCAAGACACAACTTCTCCTCTTTAGCAATGGAAGGATCTATTTTCAAAGCTATAAAGAAGGACGTTGCTTTTCCCACCTGTCCCCCAAACACTGAAAATATATCCAGTCCAAAATCAGGGGAGGGAAGGAACCTAGTGGTGGGAGGTGGGGAGAGAGAGGGAAGCGCCGGGGAATGATCTTGGCCAAATTATATTGGTATATTTTGTGTTGTGTTTACGTACGAATGTGTATCAACAAATCCTATCAGTATGGATGACTATAAGACACCCATTTAAAAGTGTGGGCAAAAAAATACATCCAGTCCATTTACCAGATCTGTGTCTTGGGTGAGTTGTTTAACTTCTCTGTGCCTCCTCATCTGTAAAATGGGGACATTCGTGCATGATGTTTAGGGTTCTCCTGAGGATTGAGTGAGGTAATTCACGTAAAGCCTATCTCAGTTCGTAGCAAAGGGTAAACAGCAAACAGGAACCACCTCCCTGTCATAGTTTTGTTGTTGTCTTGTAATTATACAGTTTGTGGGATTCCAGATCGGTGGCTGTGGATCTTCCCTTGACTTGAACAACCCAGTCTTTTCCTGGGAGGAAATTTGACTCTCAAAATGGTCAAATCAGTTGCCTTGTTCCATCCCACCCCTCCCTGGCTCTGATCCCCACCCCTGGCCTCTTTCCACCCTTCCCGCATTCCTGCACAGTTGGTCTTATTTATTTTTCAGTCAACTAAGGGTGTTGTTAAATCTTTTCTCTTTTTGTTGCCTGATTTGGTTCCAGGCACTCCACTCCCTGCCCTGCTCCTGACAAGAATGCTTGGGAGAGTTCAGCCAGCCATATCCCTCCCTTGTTGGATCACCCTGTTCTTAATGCTGCTGGAGAAGCTGCCTTCGGCGCCCTTTCCCCACGGCCGTGACACTCCCATTAATAAGCTAGTGGCCTGGTGGTAATGAAGGCCCCATAGCTGAGAGAAGCGGGTGGAAAGTGGTTTTCTGGGGGAACGTCGGAGATTGTTTCTGACTGCTGTCTTCTCCAGTTTAAAAAAAGAGATGTTCAGAAGCTTCCTCTGACTTTGCTTGTTGATGGCTGGGCGATGATGCCATTGCTCAATTGGTGTTGTTCACGATCTCCATTTGAGTGATTGGTTTGGCTCTTTGTGGCCCTTTTGGACCTTCGCTCATCATGTGATACTGACAAACTCATGAGAAATAGGAACACCACGATGCTTGGATTAGGACAGAAATCACCCCTCAAACTTCTCAGGCCGTTCCTCCTGGGACCTCAGATCCCCTGGTAGAACATGAGTGAGTCTATACAGCCTGCTTTTGAGGTAGGTGTGGGTACTTTTCTTCCTGAGATGAGAAAGCTATGGTCCAGGGACTGGTGGTTTTCAATGTATGCTCTTTGCCCAGGGTTGGACACAGGACATGTGTGAGAGAGGTTAGACTGAGACGAAAGGAGGGGGGGGGTGGTGGTACTGCTGAGTCTCCGCTTTGGGAGGTAACCGTGGACCACACCTACTCCCTAAAGCATATTGACTTTCGGAAGTCAACCATTTGGAAGAGCGTGGTTTGGGTTTCGATCACATCCCAGCAACCCCTTCTCTGCCCTTGTTAATCTGATCCGTGATCTGAGGCTGGGCTGGTTGGAGGCTAGCCATATCACTCTGCAGACCTTGGACACCCCTCAGTGCCCTCGTGGAACCAGCCAATGGAAAAGTACAAGGTCTTCTGACTTCTTGGCCCTGCCAGCTCCTGCGGGCCTGTTTGATACCTCCTTTCATTCTGAGTGGGAGGATAGCATCCAAACTGAAAGCGCAGGTTTTTCTTTGGTTTTTTAATAGGAAAAACAAATTGGCATGAATGCTCAGTAAAACCAGCTCAGGCTGTTTGGGCAGATGCCTTTCTTTGCTTTTTTTCTGTTTATTTTCCAACAAATCAATGCTTAACTGTGTTGTTATCAGAGCAGAGCAACAGGTGCAAAAAAATAACCCTGCTGCCAACTCAAATGAAAAGGTAGGGCTTCTACCCTCTGGGAGGTATTCAGAAGATAACAGAAGCCCCTGCCAGCAACCGAATTAACAGCTCTGTTGACGGTGGGTTTTGTGTTAACAACCTGCTCCTAACCCTCAGACACATAAACACACCATTGTCCTGGGACAAGACATCCAGCCACCCAGACAACCAACTGCTTTATGCTGCTCTGAGTGGAGATTGGTTTTGGCTGAGGTTGTTTTGTGAAACTCACAAGTATCATGTGGTCTGCCAACTCCACGTCTTAGCAAGGGCATTCTGTGAAGGCAAGGCCATGGGGTGGCTGCAGAGGAGAGGACCAGTCCTGCTTTTTAAACCTATCAGAATTCTTTGCAAGGTTGGTTAGGTCCACATGCCAGAGTGGGTGGCCCTGAGCTCTCTGCTCTCGCTGCATTTGTCCTCAGTTGGAGGTGGGGATGAGCTTGCACGGCTTTGGAAAGAGCTGCTATTGTTTTGGAAGTGTGTCCTTGCTAAAGGTCCATCAGGACGGGGCTGTGTCTGTGTTCTGTACACTATAGTCTCTCTAGCATCTAGCGTGATGCTGAGCATCTAGTAGACAGTTTATATATAGATGTGTGTATGTATATATATGTATACACAGTTATATGGATATTTATACACACACACACACACATATATATATACACATATGTGTGTGTGTAAACTGGAGAGAAAAAATAAATATTTGTAATAGACAGACAGCATTTCTTAGGCATACTTTATATCCTCTAAAGGCTGAGATGTCAATTTTCTTGGGTATGAGGCCCCTCATCCAAGTGGTTGAATAATTTTTTTAAAAGGAATAAGCTAATTTAATCAAACAAAACAAATTTATATTCATTAAATAATCTTTTGAAGGACTAAGGTGGGGGTTGGATGGGGCTGGGGTTAAGCCAACCAGCCATGGGATTCTCTAGATGGAGGAATCATCATAGAAATCCTTTATGAACACTGTTCTGGGCCAGGTTGTATATTCCGCCTTGAGAGGTGCATATCTGTGAGTAATCAAACATTTCTGAATTTAACAGTTTGGGGGTACTGACCATTAGGAACTTTTTATTCTAAACGGACAAATAATACCATGATAGGTTCTCCACAGGTGGATGGGGGCTGGAATTCTCCTAAATGAATCTTTTGTCTCTGACTATATAAGGATTTTCTTGTGTTGATGGACATTTCCTTCAACTAACTCCCGGAGTTAGTTATCTTGAGATGGGAAATTGAGGGGAAGCAAGTGAACAAACCTACGGGTCCCAAATTGTCAACTCGGACGGAGACTGCTCAAGAATTTTTTTAAGGCAGGTTCTTGGAAATGTGGACTCTGATTCTTAGGTCTGGGGTGGAACCCTAGAAAACTTCAAGCTTAGCCCTTCCTTAGGTGGTGATGGTTCAGTGGCCTGTGGACCTAACCAAGAAATAGGTATGTGGCCTCTTTAGCCAAATAGAAAGAAAACATCACACAAATCATCCACGATGCTTCCATCTCCACATCTGTGCCTTAATCAAGACCCACAAAGACCCACAGGTGTAATAAGAAAGGAAGCCTGTGGTTTTGCTATGTCATCTTTATATTATGGTCACTTGCTTTTAGAATAGTATATCTCCTGCTTCAACTGCTGCTGCCCTGGTCTTAGTGTAGGAAAATAGGCCACGCCCACGCCAGGTAAGAAAACAGGATTGAAATCTTTCTCATGTCTCCCAACCCTGTGTCTGTGTCAAACTTTTAAAATTCCAATCTAACTCGAGTGCAAGAGAGATTTCTTTACCCTCCTTGGCATCCATAGATCTTCAGGGGCCAATGGTGATCTTTAGGGGCGTTGGGACCCACGGAATACATGCAAACTGAAAGTGGACGTGCCTTCTTGGTAGAAGGACAGGGCCATCGCTTCTTTTGAGGTCTCACAAGGCTCTGTGACCTTTTCAGATTCAAAGCTTGTCCTATTCTCAGTTGTCCTATCTGAACAGGATTGATAAGCAGATGATTGAAAGCAATCTTGTCTTTTGATCAATTTGGTGCCTGCCGCTGTCAGAAGGTTTCGTTTTGTCTGGTTCTGGCACCAAGAAGGATAAAGATCAGCGTATTATGCATGTTTCCGAATGGCTCACAGTTAATAAGGTGTACCTATAATGGATCCAGACCCGTCAACCCAGAATTGCATTATTGATCCTGAAAATGCTCAAAACCCCAAGAATCATATGTCCAATGTTGCCCCTGGGAACATGAAATGTCTTTCAAAACACATTATGAAGGTAGAAAATGACCTGTGATGCAATCCCAAAGGAACAAATGCATTCCCCAAGCTTGATTCATATTTTGATTCATTTGTAAAAGCACAATTATTGCCGGTGTTATATTCAGTTACATTTCCCACGTTCAAGAATTTTCTCTTCTCTTACTTGGGAGTAGTCCTTTGAAATGACAGTCATATTGAAACAGGAAGTTAGTAAGCTGTTGCAACACCCTTAGGACAAATGCTGTGAATTCACCTGCCAGGAACTTTGATAAAGGACTGAGAATGGTGTGGATGTCACCAGTATAGCAAAAGTAATTATTTAAAAGGCCTAATTGCTCTTCTGGCTTGAGGAGGAAAAACGTCCCATAGCAGCTAGTTCTGTGGCAGTTTGGAGACAAGGAAGAAGGCATGTGGTGGTCTCTGCTCAGTCCCCTGCGGGGAGGGAGGAGGGATGCAGACACCAACTCTACTCAGTTCTATCTGTGACACTTGTTCCCAGTGCACTTCACTCTTGCAGTAGGAGAAGACTGTGCTCTTTGGCCTGAGGTCTAATCCAGGTACAGCCCAAATAGCTATGGACTAGTTTATTTCTCAAATATAAAATTAAAATAACTTCATGGAATCATAGGGGGAGCATGTGCATGGTATATATATGTATGTGTTTATATGTATCGTGTGTGTGTGTGTGTGTGTGTGTGTATTTGGATATAAGCTTGATAAAGATGTGACTAACAGTTCAGAGAGTTGCTGTGACCACAGATAAAATGGGAGTGGTGATCAGGATGAGTTGAAGACAGTTTTTTTCCTCTCCACTGGAAAAATCACCCTCTTCTCAGCAGAGTAGGTAAGCCCCCAGGGTTTGTTGCTGGATAGTCTAAGTTTGAATTCTCTGCTAGCTCCAGTTCTTGCTAAGCTGTGTGATCTTTTTAAATTTTTTTTCATTGTCAATGGACCTTTACTTTATTTATATGCAGGGCTGAGGATCAAACACAGTGCCTCACACATTGCTAGTCAAGCACTCTATCACTAAGTCACAACCCCACCCCTAAACAGTGTGATCTTGATTAAGTTACCTAAACTCTCTGATCCTCAGAAAGGCCATCTGTTAAATGACATAATATCTCACAAAGTTATTGCGAGCATTGCATGAGATAATGTGTTTTAAAATCATTGGCACAGAACTGATACATTGTAAGTGTTCAATAAGCCTTATTATTATTTTGACGCTATTCAATCAAGCCTTATTATTTTCAGAGTCTCAGTAGTTCCACCACCGAGCAAAAGAAATCCCTTCTTTCAGCTGAGTGGACCCAAGGTCGGGGCTGCATTCCTTTCTGCTGGGAGGCTCTCTGTATATTTCAGAAGAGAGGGCAGCGAGCAGTTGTTGGTCTGGTTATGAGTCCCGATGCCTGGCAAAGCCACCTAGGTTTGAGATCCAAGGCTCCAACCCCTGTCAGAGTCTCAGGAGTATCTCATTTGCATTGCTTTTCTATCACTATTAACTCAAATCACAGACTCTACTCTGTGGAGCAACTGAGCATTCCTTATGAGAACGGCCCCTGTAGGAAAGAGTCGTCTTGGTCACACTGCTGGGCTCGCATTGCAGAGGGACCGCTCTGCCTAGCTTTCCCTGTACCTGCACACCAGCCATAGTGTGTGGGAATGCAAAGCCTGTGGTTACCTGGAGCCCGGGGATGCATGCTCTCCCACGGCTCTTGGCAGCCTCAGGCATGGTGGGTCTGGTGAGAGGAAGGGGAGTAGGAGGGATAGCTTCATTCCCTTTGGCAAGAACTGTGCCCAGAGGGGAATATCCTGGATTCTGTGAGCAGGGCCCAGGACCTGCTGTTCATAGTTTGATCATAATGGTGCATCCACAGCACTGCCCCCAGAATGGGAGATGGAAGGGCAGGAGAGCTGGTCCTTGTTTGACTGTGCCAGGCAGCTGGGATTGCAGAATGCTGTGCAGATGAGGGAAGTTTGAAGTTTGGCTTGAAATGAACTTGGCCTTCAGTCTTCTCCTTGGAGGCTCAAAGACATAATAATAGCAGCAATGATTAATATTACTATAAACACCAGCTAGCATTTATCAAGTACTTACTATGTTCAAGTGTCAAATGTTTTTCCAAGCACCTTACAGCTATCATTTCATTTTTGTTTCTCAGCAACCCCATTTCAAATCATAATCATTTTGTAAATGATTTTGTAACTTCTAAAGAAGTTAAATAACTTGTCCAAACTTGCCCTAATTAGCAAATTGGCAAAGCCAGGGTTTGAACTGTGGCTGCCCGACCCCAGAACCCAGAATTCTTCAGCCATTACACTCTCCTGCCTCTGAAGAGTCTACTCCTACTCCAAAAGTGTCCCCAAAGCCAAGCTTTGAAACTCTGGGGCATATCTTAACCTAAGAGCCAACATTGATTCAACCCTTGCCACACAAGAGGTAAGGTGCTGAGTGCTTTATAAACATTCCATTCACTTCCATGTTGTTCCATTTTTGGTCCTATGGGGAAACTGAGGCTGTAGGCAGGATACAGCTTCTCCAAGGTTGGTGCAGCCGTTGAGGTGCAGCACCACATTTTCAACCCTTGCTTTCAGCCTCATGGCTGCTTAGAGTTGTCCTTGAGGCAAACAGCAATGGGGAGGCTGAGTTGGAGCCTCCTGACACCCTCCATATGTCCTGGAGGCTCAGATCTCTGTGGTGCTGTCTCTGTCTCTACTGTGGGCAAATTTGCCACTGACCAGCAGCAAAACTTGAGATGCTTTGAAACTTTAGGACCAAGCCAAGTGCTTCGTTCATCACCCTCCTCCCCACTCTGGCCCAGCTGATGTGTGCTGGTGGCCCAGCTGATGTATGCCGGTGGCCTGGCTGATGCTCCTCTGGGAGGGAAGCAAGTCTTTGATGAAAGCCTGGAGAGCAGTGGGCTCGGGGGGCTGCGGTTGTCTCTGTGGTGACTGGCACAGGAGTGGTCCAAGTCCTTAGGGCACTGGGGAGCTGATGGGCACTCAAAACCATGGATTCAAAAAGTGAGGGGTGAGGGGTATCTTTCCCACCAGACTCAGGCTGTGGCTACTCAGTGTGACACATGTTTTCTTGCACAAAAGT